GAAGAAATTAGGCCACAGCAATGCTTGCACATTTGAGGAGATGACACATTTCCATTGCCTCCAGAAAACCCAAGGCAGAACATACTGGAGCGAGCTTTTAATCCCAGCACTCAGGAGGCAGAGGCAGGTGGATATCTGTGGATTCCAGGCAAGTCTGGTCTACAGAGCAAGTTCTAGGGTAGGCTCCAAAGAAAAATGAATAAAGGAAATATGGTACATTTACATAGGGGAGTAGTATTAAATAGCTGTTAGAAAAAAAAATGACATCATGAAATTTGCAGGCAAATGGATGGAACTAGAAAAAAACATCCTGAGTGAAGTATCCCAGATGCAGCAAGACAAATATGACATTATTTGTTATATGTGGACATTTGCTGTTAAGTCTTTTCTATTCAGTCCGGGACTTCAGTCCATGCAATGGTAGATGTTCCCTTGTCAACCGAGTCTTCCTTACAGGTGTAACCAGATGTTTGTTTCCATGGTGTTTTTTGATTCCATCAGATAAACATTTAAGATGGACTATCACAGTCAGTACCCAAGTCTCCTTAGAAAATTGTCTAAAGTAATTTTTATAGGCATTTATTTTCTTCTTTCCTTTCACATAAAAGATTAAAATAAACTAGGATCCAACTTAAAAGAAAGTTGCCTGTGGTGCCATTTGACTCTAATCCCAGTGTTGTGTGGGGCAGAGACAGGAGGGTCCCCGAGGTGTGCTGGCTGGCAGCCCTGCTTCAGGCTCCGTGGGACCCTGTTGTGGGAACAAGACAAAGGATACTCCCATCCTCCTCTGGCGCCTGCACACACAAGCACTCATACATATGCTATGCACCCCACAAATACACATACAACTTTTTAAATTAAAGAAACAGCTCTTTAAATGAACAAAGCCAGCCTGGGCTAGTTAGCAAGCCTCTTCATCCAAACTAAAAGAAGAGAGGTTAGGATGTGAGTGTGAGGTGCACCCACATATCTTGTCTGAATTCCTAGATTCCAGCCCCAAGAATCCAAGAAGAAAGGAAGGAAGGACAGAAGAGGAAGAGGGAGGGAGGGACAGAGGGGGAGAGAGAGGGAGAAAAGAGCCCAGAGAATGGCTCAGTGGTTTTTTGTTTGTTTGTTTGTTTTTGTTTTGAGGTAGGGTCTCACTTTGTTGCCCTGGCTGTCCTGGAAGTCGCTTTGTAGACCAAGCTGGCCTAGAACTTATAGAAATCAGCCTACCTCTGCCTTCCAAGTGCTGGGATTAAAGGTATGCCCCACCACCACCTGGCAAATTTCTTTTCTTTTTTTTTTTTTTTTAAGAAAGAGAAAGGGACCACCCTCAAGCTTCTTTCTGGACAGGCCTTAGTAATCATAGAGGAAGTGTCTTTAAAAAAAAGACATCTGATTGGGTGGTGGCATACACCTTCAATCCCAGCACTCAGGCGGCAGAGGCAGGTGAATTCAAGGTCGTATTGGCATAAAGCAAGTTCCAGGACAGCCAGGACTGTTATAAAGAGAAACCCTGCCTCAAAAAAATTACATCAGGATTATTTATTTTTATTTTATATGTATTTTTCCTGCATACATCTTTTCCATATGCATGTAGTACCTGAGAAAGCCAGAAGAGGGCATTGGATTCTTTAGAACTGGAGTTATGGTTCTCTCTCTCTCTCTCTCTCTCTCTCTCTCTCTCTCTCACACACACACACACACACACACACACACACACACACCACAGAGGCACATCTAGCCTCAGAGTTAGCAACCCTTTTTTAGAAAGGCGCTCCCCCCCCCCCGAAAAAAATATATTTTCAACTGTTCAGGAGCTTGAAATGTCTTAACTCTGACATGACAGCAAAGAGCAGATACAGTTGTGGATCAAACAAATAGGAGCCACAGATCAGTAAAACTTTAAAGACACAGTGAGAAGCCATGTTTGTTTGTTGAGGTGAGAACAGAACCTGGGCTGAGTATGTGTTTGGATGGTACCTGGGCTACCAGAGCTCAGCGCCCTTATGCTTGGCAGGTGGCCCCAGGCACGAGAGCAGGGTTGGCACTGGGCTTTCTGCATTTTCTTTTGCCTAGGAGTTCACAGGACCCACCAACATCCTATGTTTGACCTCTGACCTTTCTGCTGGTTTCTGCCACCTCAATTAAGATGTTACTTTCCTTCGCTAATTGAGCTGGGACTTTGCCCAGTGCCCCAGGCAGATACCAGCAGAGAAATCCCACTGTAAACGAGGTCCGCCCATGCATGCGGTGGCTGCTGGAAGGAAGCCTGGCAACCGGGAGAGTTGTGTGTGCTGCGCTGGTGTCAAACCAAGTCCTCCAGTGTCCCTTCCTGTCTTTAGAGAGAGTCACAATGCACACTGTAGTCCCTGCCCTTGCAGGCAGCGAGTAGCAGGGCTACAATAACACCTGCCTTAACAGTAGGAAAGTAGAAAGCCGGTAAAGGCAAGGAGCATAGGCAGGCCGGGCTCTGGAGCAGGGCACTAGCTGGCATCCAGGGTTCCAACCCACACTTCAAAGGGAAGAGAGTTCTGGAATGGAGGTGGTGAGGACTGGACATGAGTGCGCTTAGTGAGTGGTCCTACCCATGAGGCCAGCCAGCTCTGCAGAGAGTTCCAGGCTAGCCAAGGCTACACAGCGAGGCACAATCGTTAAAAAATAAAAATCGGAGGCTGAGCATGGTAGTGCACGCCTTTAATCCCAGCAGTCAGAAGGCAGAGACAGGCGGATCTCTGTGAACTCAAGGCCAGCCTGGTTCCAGGACAGCCAGGGCTACACAGAAACCACAAAAAAAAAAAAAAAAATAATAAATAAATAAAAAATAAAATCAAATCAGTTTGTCACTATGCTTCACAATATGAATTTGTATCTTCCAGTTTATATATGGTGGTATAGATGGAGCCCGGGGCCTTGTGCATACTAGACAAATGATCCAATCTGAACCACACCCCATCCCCTCCCTGGGGGATCCTAGACAGGGCTCCACCATTAGTTATTCCCCCAGTGCTATTAAACAGCTTTTTTTGTTGTTGTTTTTGTTTTTGTTGTAAAGAACCCTGTTCTCGGGGCTGGAGAGATGGCTCAGAGGTTAAGAGAGCACTGACTGCTCCTCTAGAGGTCCTGAGTTCAATTCCCAGCAACCACATGGTGGCTCACAGCCATCTATAATGAGGTCTGGTGCCCTCTTCTGATGTGCAGGCAGACATGGGGCAGAATGTTGTATACATAATAAACAAATCTTAAAAAAAAAAAAAAAAAAAGAACCCTGTTCTCGGCCAGGAGTTGGTGGCTCACACCTTTAGTCCCAGCACTTGGGAGGCAGAGGCAAGTGGATCTCTGTGAGTTCGAGGCCAACCTGGTTTACAGAGAGAGTTCCAGGACAGCTTCCAAAACACACAGAGAAACCCTGTCTCGAGAAATTAAAAAAAAAAAAAAAAAAAAAAAAAAACCTCTGCTCTCAATATCAGACAACGGAAGCTACTAAGCTTGAATCCTGCTAAAATTAACCCAAACTTAAACTGGCGCCTGTTTGTGGACACCACGAACAGCTGGTCCTGGCAACGATCCTTGATCACAGGCTACCCAGTGGCTATCATGCCTCTTTCCCAAAATAGGCTGGAAGGCTCTTTATTTCCATCCTGTCTGTCCCATCAGAATGTGAGATCCCCACGCCTCGGGCTGGAGGGCAGGAAGGCTGATCCCCTGTAATCTCTCCAGCTGCTCTAGGAGCCCAGCCAAGGCCAGAGCGCTGTGGTTTATACACAGATTCTGCAATCCTGACACTGTCTGCTGCCAAGGCCCGAGGACCCCTCCTGCCCCTGAATTTCAGCTACTGTGAAAAGCTGTGATGAACTTGGGACCTCCAGGGTCACCAGGACCCCTTTGGGCACATTCCTGGAAGTGTGAGTGCTGCCTGGCGATGCTAGCTCCCCTCCCCTCCTTTCCCCTTCATCCTCTACCCTTTCCCTCCCTCTGCTCCTCATTTCTTTTTTGATGTCACTCTGGTAGCTCAGGCTGGCTTGGAACTGCTGATTCTCGTGCCTCTTCTCCCTGCATGGTGGGGTGACAGGTGTTAACCTTCCCACTGTCTTGGAGAAGTTGATGTGCTTGACCCTACCTTGGAAGCTCCAGATCCACTCCCTATCCCCAGAGGCCCTAGCATCTCTAAGAACAGACCTCACTGCATCCCTACATTTTGAGGCTGAATAAAGCAAAAGGGCTTGGTTCACTTGCACCACATTTATTGGTTATCACTCACACTGAGTTTTGATTGACACTGGAGGGTGAAACCCAGGGGCTTCCAGCCTCAGGTCTTCCCCAACGTGCCAGCAATGCCGTGTGAAAGCACTTTCTCAGCAAACGGGCATCAATGGATATTCACAGAGGCTTGAGCCCAGCTGTGCCCCTTTCAGATGTCACCCCTTTCAGATGTCCTGGTGACTTTCGATACCACGCCCTTGCCCTGCTCGTCCCCAGCAGCAGCACGGAGCAGCTGTGGATCTACACGTTTGTTAATGACTGAATGAATGATGCCTATCAAACATGAGGGACACCCGATGTGTCCAGAGCCCAATTGTGAGTGCTCAAGGCTCTTGGACACTCTGCCCTGCATGCAGGTGGCTACACTTCTTTTGCCTGTGAGCAGCTGGAAACTCCAGCTCCGCTTCCTAACCATTAGCCCTGGATGTGTCTGCTCAGCTGGTGAGATCTGGGCCCAAACACAAATGGTCTAATGTAGAAAGCATCCATACAAAGCTTCTGCCACCATCCTTCATCCAGCTCCCAGCTCCCTGGCCATAAGCATGCTGCTTAGGAAACTTTTAACATTATCTACCCTCTGTACACAGGAGGACCTGGGGGCTCCATGCTACTGAGAGGAAGCATGAGGCTCAGAGAATGAAGCAATTTGCCCCAAGATGCCCAGAAGGATAGGAAAGGCAGGAAAGGATGTGGGAACCCCAGCACCTGGCTCTCAGGAGGAACTTGGTTAACTGAGTCTCCACGTGGCTTTAAAATTCTTTTGGTTACAAGACATAATTTGAAAGAACAAAGAAAGAAAACCAAGAGTCTACTGGCCAGGGCTTCTGCTGAGGACTGGGTGAGCCCAAAGACTGTGATGTCATGAAGGCTCTGGCAGAAAGCAGGGTCTCTTGCTCCTACAAAACTCCACCCTCACATCTCAGGACCACATCAGCCCTGGAAGTGGCTGATGGGTCCAAATTGCATCTGGGGAAGTTGAGGTCAGTGGAGGGGAACTCTGAGCCCTGTGTGCCCCTAAGTTCTGAGGTTCCCTGAGCCTACACCCTTCTCCCCAGCACCCCGTGGATGCCTGGGGCTGCCCCTACTCGGCCTTCTTGGTCTTCTTCTTCCTGGAGCCTTCGCTCAGCTCCTCCCTGGCCTTGGCAGGCAGGCTCGAGTGCTGGGTGCCTAGTCCGCCACCATGTGATGCCCCATGGTTGTCATGGTGATGATCACCTCCCCAAGCTGTCCCAAAGAGCACTGGGCAGATGTAACCCTCCAGGACATCAAATGGAGAACTGTGAGAGTGTGTGGCCGTCAGGAACACCTGAAGGGTGGATGAGAGAGCAGAGGGGCAGTGAGAGGGCAGTGAGCCAGCCCCAGCCGTCTGGCTTCCCACACCTTCAAGTCCATGAGCCCCCATCCTGGAGTCTACAGAGACTCGACTTCCAGTGTCCAAGCCTGGGTAGCCCAGGGATGGCGTGACCAGTGGTCTCCTACCCCAACAGGATCTCCCAACACCTGCACTTGGGTGTTACATTTTGTTGTTGTTGAGTCAGGGTACCATGTAGCCCAGGCTAGCCTCCTACCCACTATATAGCCAAGTCTGACCATAAGAGATAGGTATCTCCTTCCATCACGTGGGAACATAGGTGTCAATCATCTGAAGCTGGGAAGAGTCCCTCACAGTAGCGCAGCCCCAATGTCATACCTACATCCACTGTCTTGGTCACACTCCAAAGCTCTGAACAATAGCTCCCTCTTATTTCCCTCTCTTCTCCTTCTCATTCTCCCCTGCTTGGTCTTCCATCCTCTCTCCCTCCTTGTTTGTTTTTGTTTGCTTGCTTGCTTTTAGTTTGTGTTGGATTTTAAGATAGGGTATTATGTAACACGGACTGGTCCCAAACTTGCTGTGTAGTTGAAGATGACCTTGAACTCCTGACTTGGGACCCATTTTCCTGCCACGGGGGGCTGTTTGTTTGTTTGTTTGTTGTTTTAAGACAGAATGTCACTATGTAACCCTAGCTGACCTGAACTCACTATGTAGCCCAGGATGGCCTCAAACTCATGTTGATCCTCCTGTCTCAGCCTCAACAACAGAGCTCACTCACTTCCAAGGCTATGGTCCTCTCTAGGAACAGATTGTCCCTAGGTAGGCTTTTCTATGCTTGGGATGCTAGGGGCAACATTCTCCAGTTCTGTGAAAGGATAGGGAAGGCCTAAGCCCTTTCTGGGTGGTTTGATCAGTTAGTTACACTCATAGTAGTAGCTTCCAGCTTCCTGACCTCCCATACAGGGTACCAGCACCCCCAGCCTACATCTACAAGGCCCGTTCTCTTCATCCCCACCCCCATCTCTTTGGCCCTCATCCCTCAACCTCCCAATGGATTTCTCCTGTCTATCTCATGTGGACCATGCACCCCAGGTTCCTGCACCCCATTCCAGGGAAATGAAGGTTGCAGGCTTACCTTACATGACACCATGAACATGGTGAAAATGAAGATGAGGCTGGCCTTGGACACAGGGAGCCAGCGGGTTTGCTGCAGGGTGAACAGGATCGCTCCATACAGGCTGGCCTTGGTGGGGCTGAGGGTATAAGATATGGGTCACTATGGTCCATTCTCAGTCCAGGCTTCATTTGAAGCTCACCAGAAAGGCAGCTGGTCAAGAGGCACTGAACCTGTCTTCCCAGCTGGTGGCTGGTGCCTGCTTGCTGGGGAGGGGGTGGATTTTAGTTTATGTTGGGTTGGGAAGTTACAGTCTGAGCTCATGTAGGAAAACAGCTGGGGGGGTCTCAAGCCCATGGAAGATGGAGAATTTGAGGTGGAGGCTGTGCTAGGGTAAAGAACTCAACCAGTGAGGAATTCACAGGGTGGTGACATACAGTCAAGGAAATAAAGTCTCTGACCAAATCAGGGCGTCAGCCTTTTTAGCCTTTCCTCAAATGCTGACCACTGAGTTCCCATGGTTGTAAAACAAAAGGCTTCTCTCTCCTGAGTCTCCAGGGCTCTTATTATGTAAGTAAGGGCCACTGTTTCTGACAGAAATATCTGTATTGTCAACTGGAGTTGAGTTACTATCCCTCCTCACCATCACCCTTTGCCTGCTCCTACCACAGTGTCTCTGTCTCTATCTCTCACCCATGTAAGCAATTTTAGAGAGTTGGTTTCTCCCTCCACCATGTAGAGCCTGGGGTTTGAACTCATGTCATCAGGCTTGGCAGCAAGCTCCTTTACCCATTAAGCCATCTTGCAGGCCCTGCAACTTATTTTTGAGGCAGAGTCTCTCACTCACTCAACCTGAAATCTACCAGTTTGCTAAGTGGACTGGCAATGAATCCAAGGAAATCCAGTCTCTTCTTTCCCAGTGTGGTTTAAATGAAAATGCCCCCATTCTGGCCCCCAGGTGGTGGTGCTGTTTGGGGAGGTTGAGGAAGAGTGGCCTTGCTGGGGCAGACTTTGGGAACTAAGGGCCTTTCCATCCTCCCTTTCTTGTTTATGGTTTAAGATGTGAGTCCTGAGCTCCCAGCTCTTGCCACCATACCACACCTGATGCTTGCTACCAGGTCTCCAAACCAAGACAGACTCAGCCCTCTGGAACCTAAGCTCAGGTGAATGGCTTGACCATGGTGTTTTGTGCCGGCAACTGTAGAATAGCTAAGATACCAGCTCCGGGGTGACAGGTGTGCTGCTGCAATGTGAGTAAAGGTGCTTGTATGGTGGGGAGAGGTGACTCCTGCAGGCTTCCCTTCCCAGCATAATGGCTCTGAGGTTAAAGCTCTTGCCTGGAGCTAGCTGGGTCGTGAGCCTGGGCATAATATCAGGGACTTGGGGTTTGACTCAAAGAATATGATGGGAAAGCAATTGAGGATGCTCCCAGCATAACCCCAGGTATCCACATGTATACATACACACACACACACACACACACACACACACACACATGCCCACATACAGTCACACCACACAGACACACAGGAAAATGGAGAAAAGAGCAAACAAGCAAATGTAAGAGAAAAGGGATGTATCAGACCAATGCAGTGGTCCTGAAGGGTCATATGTGTTGTGTGGGTCCACCCACCTGCACCGTTTCCTTGACTCCCACTCACGTTCTGCCTCCTCACCCTGCACTTTCTAACCTGACAACTGGTAGTGATTCTAGGATCTGGGTGGGGAGTCTATTGTAGTCAGAAAACTCCTACTCACTCTTTAAAACCCCAGTCAATATCTTTTGCAGAAGTTCTTCCTGTTGTTACCCCAGCAGTATCTCCAGATGACTAATAACTAGGCAACTAAGGGCTAAGCAAGAAGGGCCAGAGGCCAGAGGTGGGGTACTCACAAGGACATGTGCAAGATCTCATTGGTCTCTGGCTTCCAGACTCCTCGAAGCAGCTGTTCCAGGTTGGACAGGAGGGCGACACCAGAGCCTGTGGGGCAGGGCACCGCTGAGCTGGCTGACCACCCCCACACCTGGTTTCCTTGTCTAGCTTCAGTTCCCCAGGAAACAAAGGACTTTCTCTTCATGAGGAGTCTGTGCCTGGGGATATGAGGTTCTCCACATAGCCTTCCCCAGGTTCGTACAGCAGTCAGGACAAACCAACAAGAAGCAATTGGATGTGTCCCACCCACAAGGGACTGTCTTGAGTCTTACTGTGTTGCCCAGGCTGGCCCTGGGTCCCTAATTCTTCCCTGGCTCAGCGTGAAGAGTGTGGATGAAAGGAACCCACCCCCACACCCAGCTAACTGCTATGATTTTATTTATTGAAAACATTTAATAATTCTTTTCAATACTTTTATTATTTGTTTAGTTTGTGTATAGGGGTGTCAACATGCCACAGCATTAATGCAGAGGTCAGGGGACAACTGTGGAGTGAGTTCTCTCCTTCCACCCTGTGGGATTCAAGGAATGAATGCAACTCAATTGATGGTAATCACCGTCCCCTACTGAGCCAAACTGTCAGCCCCTACAGATTTTTAAAATTACATTTACCTAGATATGGTGGTGTACACCTTTAATTCCAGATCATGGGGAGGCAGAGTCATGGGGATCTCTGTGAGTTTGAGGCCATCCTGGTCTACATAATGAGCTCCAAGCTAGCCAGGGCTACATAGACTGTCTGAAAAAAAAAATTGTGACATTTCAGTTATACTTTTTGTGGTAGTGGGGGGTGGTGTCCATGTGCATGCCTTATCATGACACAGGTGTAGAGATCAAAGGACAACTTATAAGAACTCACTATGTGGGTTCCAGGATCAAACCCAGGACATCAGGTTTGGCCCCAAGCGCTCTTCCCCACAATGCCATCTGGCTGGCCCCTATTATTATTAACTTCATTGTTATTGCATATGGTATGTGTAGGCACATGGGCCATGGTGCTCATGTGGTGGGCAATGAACAACTTATGGGAGTCAGTTCTCTCCTGTGTGGGTCACAGGGATCAAACTTAGGTCATCATCACCAAATTTTTGCTGCAAGCTCCTTTACCCACTGAGCCATCTCACTGGACCCCTGTGCTGATTTTTTTTTTATCCTCCTTGTCATAATTCTGTTTACCTTTGACCCACCCAGTGGCGATCATGATGAACCACCCATGGTGGTAGTGGTGGTGTGCGTGATGGATGCCCACGGCAATCTTTCGGACCCTCACCACCTCCTTCATAGCCACAAAGATGAGTTTCACAGGCAAGAAGCAGACGCACTTGTAGAAGAGGTCCAAGGGACAGAAGAAAATCAAGTACCTTTGAGGACAGAAGGCCTAGGGTCAGGGGGATGGGCAGCTGAGCAGGAGATCCCGAGGAGGACAGTAAGGGTGCTGCTGCCCTGCAGATTTCCACTGGGGTCCTTGCTCCTTCAACCTCCATCCTCCCTGGTTGGGTCCACCCTGGCCTGAGGCTCAGCCTTCCTGGGGCCCCCAGATGCTTACCACACTGCAGAGGCCAGCAGGATACCAGAGCTGTTGCTGAAGTAGTCAATAATGGGTTCCCCGAGGAGCAAGTCCGCCAGGATGTAACTCCCGAAACAGTGCAACATGGCGCACAGCCAGGACGCCACCGGGTGTTGCCGGGACAGCTCCACAGCTCCTGCAAGGCACATGAATTCTAGTGGTCACTAGAAGTGGCAAACACAGGGGCATGCCACACCTGCAGCATGCTGTAATAAAGATTAAACCCAGGGTTTTCCATGTGCTCGTCAGGAACAGTGGGGAAAAGGAGAGTCACAAGTTTAAGGTTAGCCTTTACTACAGGGGACATTCTAGACTAGCCTGGGGTACATGAGACCCTGTCTCAAATAAAAAAGGGGGGAAGATAATGAAAGGAAGCCTCCTGTCCAGGGTGGCCCTGAATTGGTGACTGCCAGTCTTTGTCACCTCTGCCTTTCCCATAAGGCCAAACAGGGAAATCCCTCTTGTAAACTTTCAGCCAAACCAACCTTTAGTTCCCCTCAGTGCTGGGGATGGAACCCAGGACTTGCTACTGAGCCACAGCCTCTGCTTCAAAACCTCTTTTCTCTTCAGCAGTAAAAAGATCTGTGTATTGGTACTGCTCTGGAAATCAGACAGTGAGATGGCTCTGTGTAGATCGATTGACTCCAAGCCTGATGACCTGAGTTTGATCCCCAGAGCCCACACAGTAGAGAGAACCAACTTTCCCAGTTGTCACTAAACCTACACTTACCTCCTATGGCACACACACACACACACACACACTCACGCACACATACAACAAATAAATAATTTCAAACAGAGATACAAATGCCTTATATAACTCTACTCAATGTGGACATAGCAAGGTAAATTATGCAATCTTATATTAATGGCCTCAAAGAGCAACGAGGGTAGGGAGATGCTGTGCAAGTGTGAGGACTGGAATTTGGATCCTTAGAACCCATGAGATCCAGAATCAATAGCAACAGGCCTCACCCCCTGCCACATACTGGGACACATATAGTGGGAAGAATGAGCCAATTCCTGCACCTCGTTCTCTGGGCCATGTGTGCAACAAGTGTACATGCATGCACACAAACACACACACATATATGTACACTAAAGAACACACAAAAGAATGACCAGCTTGTCAAGTGCCCTGGTATGTATATACTTGTAACTTTAGTACTTGGGCACAAAGAGAGGAGGGAGAAGAGGAAGGAGAGGGAAGGGAAGGGAAAAGGAGAGAGAGGGGAGGGAAGGAGAAGGAGCAGGAAGGGGAGGAGAGGAAAAGGGAGAGGAAAGGGGAGAGAGAAGAGAAGGGAAGGAGGAGAGAAAGGAGAGGGGGAGGAGAGGTAAGAGGAAAGAGCACCCCCTCCTGAATCTATTTAAGGCACTGCTTCCCCTGAGAAGTAATCCCAGGAGCAGCTGGTGAGTGCATAGGGCCAAGGTTGCTGAAGTACTCCCTCATGCCCCGCAGAAAAAGACACTTGCATTTGCTTCTAAAAATAGCTGCCAGGAGAAGTCTTATTACAGGGTGTTTCTTGTGCCCTTTGGGACCATCCTAGAGACAGAGCTGAGATTTCAATGCATGACATTGACAAGCAAACAACAGGCTTTGCTTCATAAGCACCTCCTATATAAAGGTCTATATAAAATCCCCTTTTGGCTTTGTCACTTAGGCCTATGTAGCCCTGAGAAAGTGTCTGCCACCAGTCTGTTTCTTTGGTTGTCAAAAGGCAGAGGGATTAATTTACATAGCTCTTAAGGTATAATGGTTCAATCCATTATCTTTATTTTATGTGCATGAGTGTTTGCCTGCATGTGTGTCTGCGCAGCATGACAGTGCAGTGCCTGCTGAGGCCTGAAGAGGGCATCATATCCCTTGGAGCTGGAGTCACAGATGATTGTGAGGGACCCTGGATCCTTTGCCAGAACAGCCAGTACTCCTAAGTGATGAGCCACTGCTCCAGCCTAGTCTATTGCACTTATTTATTTTGACATGGATCTGGCTCTAATCCAGGCTAGCCTTGAATTTGCCATCCTCCTGCCTCAGCCTCTCCACTGCTGAGATGACAGGCTTCAGTCACTCAAAACCTGAAGAAGCCCAGGCTCCCTGGCTCCATCAAAGATTGCCCAGGACCAAAAAAAAAAAAAAATTTGCTTAGCCCTTAGCAATTATGCCAGAGATATTCCAGGACATAGAGGGGCATTTCACACACTAGTGTGATATCTTGTTTAGGATATCTTGTTTATGATCAAACAAATAAAGCTTGCCTGAAGATCAGAGTGCAGAGCTAGACACACTAGTTAGCCATAGAGGCGAGGCAGTGGTGGTACACACCTTTAATCCCAGCATTTGAATGACAGAGACAGATGGAGCTCTGTGAGTTTAAGGCCATCCTTGGCTACACAAAATCATCCAGTCTAAAAGAAAAACAGCTCAAAGGTGATCCCAGCCCTTGGGATCTCAAACCTTTAATCCCAGCATAGAGAGGTGGAGACAGGAGTGTATAGCTGGGCAGAGAGGCGGGAGGTGACTAGAGCTCAAGGCAGTCTGAGACACAGAGACAGTGTGAGGACAGGATCAACCCTTTAGTCTGAGCATTTTTAGAGGTGAGAGATTGGGGCTGGGAAGATGGCTCAGTGGTTAAGAGCACTGGCTGCTCTTCCAGAGGTCCTGAGTTCAATTCCCAGCAACCACACGGTGGCCCACAACCATCTTAGTGAGATCTGGTGCTCTCTTCTGGTATAGGTCTTCGTGCCAGAACATTGTATACATAATAAATAAATCTTAAAAAATAAAAAAAAGAGTTAGGAACTCTAGTGGCTGGCTGCTCTGCTTCTCTGATCCTTCAGCTTCCACCCCTTGATATCTGACTTTATTATTAAGACCAACTAGAATTCGTGCTACCTCTGGCACCCAACTTTTGGGGTACAAATTCACCAAAAGAAAAAAGCCATATGCGTGTGATTTTGCAGCCACTGCTAGAGGCCAGAGCTACAGGTGTCTGGAGCCACTGTCCACTGACTAGGTTTTCTTTTCTTCTCTCATGGTGGGCTTTCCCTGGACCCCTGTTCTTGGGCAACTGCCAAACTAAGTCAGGCTTCTACTGTCCTACGGAGCAGTAGTCAGCATGGCGTCTTCATTGTTGTCATCTGGAGATTTGACGAGAAAACTGGGAAATCCTTGTTTTGTTTTGTTTTGGTTTGGTTTGGTTTGGTTTTTTGAGACAGGGTTTCTCTTTGTAGCTTTGGAGCCTGTCCTCTGTAGACCAGGCTGGCCTGGAGTTCACAGAGATCTACCTGCCTCTGCCTCCCAAGTGCTGGGATTAAAGGTGTGTACCACCACAGCCTTTAATTCTTGGTTTATCTCTAAAAAAGTTTTTGGAAATGAGCACCAAGATATAGGCCTTAGAAAAACTTAATAGAGCAGATCATAGAGACTCAAACCCAGACAGAACTTAAAGGAGAACCAAGTTCAGTGCTGCATTGTAAGGTTACAGAGGTACAGCCTAAGGTTTTCAGGCAACGATACTTAATATATCCAGTAACCTTACAGGAATTGCCAAATGATAGAGGCTCTGTAAGAGCCTGTGCCAATGTTAGATTTAAGGAGATTCAAGGAAGTGGTAGACTCATATGGCATGCATTCACCAGTTGTAAAGCAGATGTTAAACTTGTGGTCAATTTGACTTGGTTACAGTAGTCTTAGAGCTTGGTCCACAATTACAATAGAGGACCTGGTAGAAAGAAGAGGTTAAGACCATTGAACAATAGAGTAAAGCTAGAGGTATGGAAATCTCCCAAGATCAACTTCTTGGAAGGAGATTATACTACTATAGAAAGGCAATATTCATATGATGGCCACATCCTGGCTTTATGCCATGCAATAGCCTTGAATGCTTGGGACAGAATGAAAGAACTAGGAAAAAAGATTAAGTCATTTGCTAAAGTCATACAGAACCCGAAATAAACTTTCACTGATTTCTTACAAAGATTGATATCAGCAGCAAATAGAATGACACCAAATTCAGAAGCTAGACAAATAATAATTGAATCTCTGGCTTTTGAAAAAGCTAATCCTCAATACAAAAAGATAATTAGGCCTGTAAAGGCATATCAGCACCCTTGGAGGAATGAATCAGAGATACAATCAATATTGACTGACACTCATGACCATAATGATGCTTGGATAGGAGAGGTGATTTCAAGAGGTTTGAAGAAAAATCAAAATGTCACATGTTTCAATTGTGGAAAACAAGGTCACCTTAAAAGGGACTGTAAACAGAGAATTCCTAGCAACAATGTTTTTTCTAAGCATAATTCAAATAGAATGCCCATGCCCCTCCCTTCTGGATTATTCAGGTGTGGCAAAGGCAGGCACTGGACTAATGAATGCAAATCAACAAGGGACAATCAAGGCAATCCTTTGCCATCGGGAAACTCCTCTTGCAGACCCCCATGCCAAATCTGTTTCATTCATTTTCTGTAACCGTGGAAGAAACTCCTTCCCAGAGCAATTGAATAACAATGCCAATTATAAGAAACCATACTACTCTGGATGATAGAAAAGCTATAGAACAGAGAACAAAAAATTCAGGAGAGCTGGGTGGTGGTGGTGCATGCCTTTAATCTCAGTGCTTGGAAGGCAGAGGCAGGCGGATCTCTGTGCGTTCCAGACCAACCCGATCTACAGAGCGAGTTCCAGGACAGGCTCCAAAGCCATAGAGAAACCCTGCTGATGGAAGATGTCATTCTGTAAATATGTTTCTCATACTGGTTAATGAATAAAGCACTGTTGGCCAATAGGAAAGGAAGATAGGCGGGACTAGGAGACAAGGAAAATTCAAGGAAGTAGTAGGGAGGAGTCAACATGGAGAGATTGGAAAGAGCAGAACTGCCGGCCCCCTCTCTCAGGTAAGATAAGACCACATGGAAATACTTAGATTAATGGAAATAGGTTAATAATTAAGACAGAGCTAGCTGATAAGAAGGTAGTAACTGGCCAATAGCATTGTATCTAATACAGAGTCTCTGTGTTAATTGGGGCTGGCGTGGCGGTGGGACCAGACCTGTGGAAAAACCTTACTCTTAACACTCTGCTTCAAAAAACAAAGCAAAACAAAACAAAACAAAAAATTCAGGAGAAAACAT